AGTCAAATTAAAATTCGATTATTATACTGAATTTCTCGTTCATAGCAAGATAATACTTAGCTATTAGAACAAAAATAATTTAATATTGTTGTCATTTCTCTGATAGCTTATCTCAATGTTTTCAATGCGATGGTTGACTTTGAGGCTTCCTCTTACTCTGAAGCCGAGATGCCAGGTCAGGACCGATAAAATTGATCTTTGTATTTTATCAAGAACCTCGAAATGTATAGCTGAAGCACTAGGCAGCAATATTCAACGTATAGACGAATGCTGACTTATAAATGTGCAAGATTCTGGCGAGCGAAAAATTGTCTAGCATGACACCGTGAACCAATTTTCTTAGGAAAACACTAGCCCGAGAAGCAGACACTCTTCCGTATGTATATATATATATATATATATATATATATATATATAGGTGTCCATCCGTATTCGTGGATACCGGCCTATTAAGCTCGTTCAGGCACATATACTGAGCAGGCCTTAGTTATAGTTTCTGGGAGAGAACGTGTTATCTAGCGTGATCAACAATTTGGACAAGACCAGCACGTCCAAGCCCTCGGCCACGATGACTTGTGATTTCGTGGTAGAGTCAATCTGTGGTATGATTTTCAGGTAATTTCCAAAGGTGTCGCACGCTGGGATCGACCTCGATCCTGACAAATCGACCATGGTGACATTCGAACACGGGTCTCATGGTCAGAAAGCGAATGTTCTAACCACTCGGCCACGTGATTGTTAAATCTAACAGACAATGAATGTCTATTATGTCTGATCATTAGCCGTTCAAAATTTCGTATATTTGCTTAATTTTCAGGTGAAAATAAAGGCAAAAATTGTCCAACATCTGTTTAAATGTTTATCTTTATTTAAACATCCATATAACCACTCTGAAGATGGCTCATGTGGACCGAATGTTTAGATCAACGTTTAACTTAATAAAAAAATATTCAAATGTTGGATAATTTTTGTCTTTATTTTTTCCCGAAATTAAAGCAACGAGACGAAGCTTAGAACGGCTCATGATCAAACATAATAGATATTCGTTGACTGTTATATTTAAAGATATATCATGAAATGGACAAAGTCCGACAATCATTTTAAGACATTTTTATGTTTATACATTCTTTTTATAGATACAAATATTTAAGTAAATGCTCTGTTTATAATAAACAGTATTAAACAAAATTTAGCGGCCTGAATGTCCGAGAAATTTTCATAGAAAATATTCGTCCCCCGACAGGAATCGATCCTGTATACTATACGAAACCGTCATATAGCCTGACGTGCCTTTAACCGATTTGGCCACAGAGGAGCGTTCGGTTAGCAAGGTCAATTTTACTGTCTCATGGAAGATTGTAGTTTAAAGACCTTCCATTATTTTTAGCCTTTTTGCTTGTAGATGATGCTATTATATTAGTGTTGTCAACAAGTATGTTACGAATAATGTCCAGTAGGTCTCCATGAATATTTAAATGAGATCTAATTGAGCTATGATCAGAAAGGTGTAGAGTGAGTCTGCGTGTCAAACATGTTGTAGTGTGGCCTATATAATTATTTACGAATTTTGATTGACAAGGAATACAATTCCTTAATGGACATTTAAATTCGTAAATAATCTATCTATATTCGTGTGTGGTGGATTGTCTCGTCGCAGACGACAAATGAGAGCTCAGTCAAATAAAGCGGTACTCAACTTCTATATACACGCATGTGTCTCCCGAGACTTGCAGTTGTTTTGCCGACTTTTAGACGGATCGAATATATAGTTTAGCCATTTTGCTCGAGTGGTTGAGGATCAATTACCACATATTACTGCGTGGGCCAAAGCCACAATGGCTTTTAAGTCTACCACTGCGAAGAGAAGGATTCTGCCACCTTTCTTTAATATTTACATGCAGTTGGTGCCGATGTTCAAGTCGACCTCGCGGAAATCTTTGTATAATTATTTATCCACTGTCCTACGCAGCAAGATGTGGCAAAAGGCCGAGTTTTAAAGTGGGGTATCCAAGCCCGTAGGCTCGGGCAAAAATTGCGTAGAGACCACGTAAAAACGGAGTCAGTTTCCCGAGAAGAGACTCTACCTTTCGGGCATAGCCTCGTCTCGGGGAGGGGATACCCTCTGACATGTGACAGTTAAGTATCTTTGTATAGATGAGAAACAAGACAGACGCCAGCTCCTTCCTCTTGACGATTTGTTTTCCCAGGAAAAATGACATGCGGCATCGCTTCAGATATATATATATATATATATATATATATATATATATATATATATCTTAAGCAATATCAGATAACTGATAACTGACATCCATTAAACATGGCACGTGGAACTAGAACAATCTACCCTAGTGAGTGAAATAAAGGGTTCAGTTCGACATTCCAACCACCTGAAGTAGGCCGGAGCTTATAAAGGCCGAAACGTTGTAATAAATATGGCGTCAAAGATGAGGACAATAGTCCGAATAATGTAAATAGTGTACATAATACCTCATCTCAGAAATATACACAGATACTGAAAGGTCGAAACGTTGTAATAAATGTGGCGACAAAGATGAGGACAATAGTCCGAATAATGTAAATAGTGTATATAATACCTCATCTCAGAAATATAGACAGATACTGAAAGGCCGAAACGTTGTAATAAATATGGTGGCAAAGATGAGGACAATAGTCCGAATAACGTAAATGTTGTAGAAAAGTTCCATTTAATTGGGAAAGATATTAATTTGTAACCTCTACTGGGAACAAACTGCCTGCATCCGGACAGAGAACAAATGTGAGAGAAGACTGGGACAGAGGTGCATTTTCTGATTTAACCTATACAGCAAGCTTTCCTCATTAGAAACCTTGAACACAAGGTCGACGATAATCTACATCCGCGTCCTGGATAAGACGATAACCTACATCCGCGTTCTGGGTATGACGATAAAATACGTCCAACAGCAAGGCCTCTGATCTGGAGTTTTGAGGAGTGTGGAACCACTTCTTAATTGTTGGTGTTACCAGATCCACCATGACCTGGAGTGGTAGCGCCTGTTAGGGTCCTAACTATGGGCAAATAGTTAATCCTGGTGTCAAGCACTATGAAAGTGTAAAAATAGGTTTTAATAACAGTAATAATTTTTTTAGGAGAAATTATTACCAGTAATACATTATTACCAGCAATATACTTTTAAAGAAAAAAATATTAACACCAATACATTTATTGAAAAAAATATTACCAACAATAAAAATCTTGTCGGCATTAAGGTTGATATACCGTAAAACAAGCCAAACCAAATCAATATATAGTGAAATAGATAGATAAAAAATATTACCAGCAATAAAAATCTTGTCGGCATTAAATAATCTATTGAGGTTGATATGCCGTAAAACACACCAAACCAAATCAATATATACTGAAATAGATAGATAGATAGATAGATAGAACCAGGATAGATAAAAAATATTACCAGCAATAAAAATCTTGTCGGCATTAAATAACCTATTGAGGTTGATATGCCGTAAAACAAAACAAACCAAATCAATATATACTGAAATAGATAGATAGATAGAACCAGGATAGATAGATAGATAGATAGATAGATAGATAGATAGATAGATAGATAGATAAAAAATATTACCAGCAATAAAACTCTTGTCGGCATTAAATAACCCATTCAGGACTCGATATGCCGTAAAACAAACCAAACTAACTAGGATTTGTTATTGAAATAGATGTAACCTTAAGTTTTATTCTAATAGTTTATTTTCTCGCACTTAATTTAATTTAATAGGAGTTAAATAGGTTCGCCTATCATCCGTTTTAAATTCTTTCCGGTTTTTGAACAGAACACGTGGTTTATCATTTTTTCTTGATTAGGACCGGATTTCCGGTTCCTTCTAAAGTCTTCGCATTGTCTTTCACTTCAAGTTACCCCTTGCGTCTTAGTAAATTTATCACCTTGATTGGGGCGAATTGATTAAAAAATTCTCGTTTGTAGGATTCTTCCTCTTCTGTCACCTTCAAAGATGTCAATGAAACATTAACAGCCATTTTCTGTCTTTCTAAAATGCTGTTCTTTTATTGTCCTTTCTTGTCACTAATGTCCTCTTATCTTCGTTCACTTTCAGTAACCCCCTTACATCTTAGTGGCATTGCTGCCTTGCTTGGAATGAGAATATAATAAAACAAACCCTACTATCCTTCTGATAATCATAAGGCGAACACCTCTTTCTAGCCATTTCTACCACCCATATGTCTACTCGGGTCTTCCTTTCTCATTCCGGTACTATCTCTAAGCTGATTGGTACAGATTCTTACTGGCCTGCCTCTTGGTCATTTCCCCTAAAACTATATCTCATATTATAAGCTGATGCACAACTTCTTGATTACTTCTCCAGCAATGACCATTACCCTTTCATAGATTGAAGATTCTTTAATGGATTCCGATAGAGTTCTTCATCGGGCATATGTCGTTTCCAGTTGACATTTAGCCCCACCCTCAGTAGATGTCTGACGATAATACATCGTAGTAGGTCTTTTATTTATTATTTCTCCCAAGCAAAATCGATAATGACACTAAGACGCAAATGGTTACTGATGTCGTCAAAAACAAAGAAATGAATGATGACATCCTCAATACATGTCTATTATTCTATATAGAATGATGGACAATTCCCTCGTATATGAAGATGAAACTTGATGTAATAGATATGTGGTTCTATCAACGAATGCTAAGAATGTTATTACCGGAATATGTGAGGAGATAAGACGTCTTAAGGAAAATAACAACAATGTAACATCTATACTTACAGCCAGAAAGAGACAGTTGAAGCTAGTGGGACAAATAATGAGGAAGGGTTGGCCTATAGAAATTAAGAATTACGGGACTGACTAAAGGCAAGAAAGGTAAGGAAAACAACATTTGTGCAGATGGAATGTAGAATAAGGATAAGTTGTGATTTAGGGTCAAAAGCAAAAAAAAAAAAAAAAAAATAGAAACCTGTAGAGAGTCATGATCAACGACGTCCTAAATCTCAGTCTGTTCTTTCTTTCTTTCTTTCTTTCTTTCTTTCTTTCTTTCTTCCACAGTCTGTTTATTACCTATCCGATTTCTCTCATATCTATCTATCTATCTATCTATCTATCTATCTATCTATCTATTTCTTTGCAAATCTACCAACCTCTCTTATTTTTATATCTATCTATCTATCTATCTATCTATCTATATCTATCTCTATCTATCTATCTATCTATCTATCTCTTTGCATATCTACCAACTTCTCTTATCTATCTATCTATCTATCTATCTATCTATCTATCTATCTATCTATCTATCTATCTATCTATCTATCTCTTTGCATATCTACCAACCCCTCTTATTTTCATATCTATCTATCTATCTATCTATCTATCTATCTATCTATCTATCTATCTATCTATCTATCTATCTCTTTGCATATCTACCAACCCCTCTCATTTTCATTATCTATCTATCTATCTATCTATCTATCTATCTATCTATCTATCTATCTCTTTGCATATCTACCAACCCCTCTTATTTTCATTATCTATCTATCTATCTATCTATCTATCTATCTATCTATCTATCTATCTATCTATCTCTTTGCATATCTACCAACCCCTCTTATTTTCATTATCTATCTATCTATCTATCTATCTATCTATCTATCTATCTATCTATCTATCTATGTATTTAATCAGTCATTTCCCATAAGCATTAAATTACTAGCTTTAATTCTTATCAATTACCATAGAATAATTGATGTAATTGCACAATTTATCCATCCTTCAATTATCTATTTTAACACGACTGGAGAGTCTGAGTGACTTCATGTCGAAAATGGCAATTCTTCAAATCCTACGAGATGGCAAGAAAAACCCAATTTACAAAACATTCTAACAATTTTACTGTCTGCGACAAAAATATTTCTAATCAAGACAAAACAAGTTTTATAAAAAAAAAATACCCGTAATTAAATCTAAGATAAAATTATATTCTTTCAAATACCTTGATGTATGGATCAGTTCTAATATATTTAGTATAAGAGATAAGGTTATTGATCATAGAATTTCTGTAACTGTATGATACTAATGTTTCCATCTCATAGATCAGATCCTGAGTTGTGCCTTATGCCAAAGACATAAGGATCAACTCAGGGTCTGATTTGTTCTATTATTCTTTATTCTGTTCATTCTGTTATTCTGAGTTGTTCTGTTATTCTTTATTCTGATTTTTCTGTTATTCTTTATTCTTTTATCCTGATATTCTGAGTTGTTCTGTTGTTCTTTATTCTATTATTCTGTTATTCTGAGTTGTTCTTAGTCATTCTGTTTCGTTAGTCATTATTTACATTATTCGGACTATTGTCATCATATTTGTCGCCATATTTATTACAACGTTTCGGCCGTTGTACTCTCCAGCCTTCATCAGGTAGTTGGAATGTGGAACTGAACCCTTTATTTCGCTCACTGGGGTAGACTGTTCTAGTTCCATGTGCCATGTTTAATGGGTGTCAGTTGTCATTTATCTCCTGTTAATTTCCATCTGAAAGTTCTCCACTGCCTTAGCTGGGTATTGAACTCACACTTTTTAGGCCCTGTCACTGTATCTAACTAACGCCTTTATGTGGCATGTTCCCTCAAGGACAACGTGTGTTTATATCTATCTATCTATCTATCTATCTATCTATCTATCTATCTATCTATTTGAAAACCTCTACGATCTTTTCTATCAACCCAATATAAAACCTTGTTTGGTTCTTTGGTTCCTTTTACTTAAAAAACCACCAATATATATATATATATATATATATATATATATATATATATATATATATATATATATATATATATTTAAGTTATTCAGACGTACGTAAAGCATCTGTGAAACAATCGAGGTGACACTATTTTTAAAGAGTCAAAATTCGTCATTGTTTCATTGATTGGTTATCATCTGACCTCTGCTTTGACCTCTCGGCTACAGAGATCGCCGATACCCAATCGAAGTTGAATAGTACTTTTAAACACGGATTTTTCGCTGACTCTTGACTCTTGCTCAGGTTCGTATCCTAACGTAAACAAAGTAATCTGTAAAAAAAGGGATTGATTAATTTTTATTTATTAATCCAACAGATTTTTATAACTTAAAGGTTAGTTTTAGTCGATATTAGTATTTGAGATAACGCTCAAAAAATAAACGGAGCATGTACACAAATATGAGTATCCACTAAAAATACCTTTATATATATATATATATATATATATATACTTTATTTTATGATATTACATCGAAAACATGTCAAAATCGCTATACAATTGCAGTCGTGTTTCGATGAGTATACAACGCATCTCATCAGACGATTGTAAATTACTGGCGAGTGAACGATTTAAAAGCAAAATATAGCCCTTTTTACGAATCCCACCCCCAAAAAAAAAACAAAAAGAAAAGAGCAGGGGTGGTTATAAAGTTTGTGGGCTTCAACCAATCAAATAAGACGTTAAATTTAAACAAAAAGAAGAATAAAAAATTTAGAAATTATTTTGCATAAATGAGTCATGACTTGTAGGTTTGAAATGAACGACAATCAACAGACGCCAAACAGGAGCGGATATGGATATAGATATATGTTATACATTTCGACGATGTCAGTTCCTATGAAAATTAAGTAGTAATCTAATAAATGTAATATGCTTTGTGAGTTTTCTACATAAAACTATTTTTATAGTTGATAAATAAATAAATAGCTTCTTTAAGAAACCAATAAATAATTTCAACGTATAGACTTACTTGGTAAATTAATATGCAACTATTGACTAAAGATTCTTTACATAAGGTGTTAATAACCAATCAATGCAAAATGTCAAAATACCAACAAATACCAATACATCCGTACAAGATGTTTGAATTATATATATATATATATATATATATATATAAAAAGACAATTCCAACACCTTGTACGGATATATATATATATATATATATATATATATATATATATATATATATCAAGAGAGAGAGAGAGAGAGGGCAAGGGTATGAGGGAGATATCAACATAAATTGCAGTTATAATTATGCATCAAGGGGAAACGCAGATGACATGTATATATCATATTCTTCCATATCTGACAGTATCAAATGTAAAGTCTAAAAAAATAACATCTCCATGGATTTCCAAGACAGTTTCAGGGATGTTCATACCATTTTTTCTGCATAAGGTACACTGACATCTTCATCATCATCATCATAATCTTCTCCTTCTTTTTCCTCCTCCTCTTCTTCTTCTTCTTCTTCTTCTCTTTCTTTTTCCTTCTATTCCTTCTTCTTCTTCTTCATTCTGTTTCTTTTTCTTCTTCTTTTCTTCATCCTCCTCCTTCCCTTTCTTCTTCTTCATAATCTTCCCCTTCTTTTTCCTTCTGTTCTTCCTCCTCCTTCTTCTTCTTTTCCTCATCTTCTTCTTCTTCATCATCATCATCATCTTCCCCTTGTTTTTCCTACTGTTTCTTCTTCATCTTCTTCTCCTTCTTCTTTTCCTCCTCCTCCTTTCCTTCTTCTTCTTCTTCTTCATCATCATCATCATCTCCCCTTCTTTTTCTTCTGTTCCTTTTCCTTCTTCTTCTTCTTCTTCTGTCCACTTTTTCGTCTTCTTCTTCTTCTTCTTCATCATCATCATCATCTTCCCCTTCTTTTTCCTTCTTCTTCTTCTTTTTTGACGGAGATGTTGGTCAGTACCAGTACCTATCACTTGTTTAGGAGTCACGCTTGTTCAGGCGTAGAATTAAATGTACCTGGGAATGATCATAAATCAAACGGTGAATGTTAGTCATGAGATCAGGGCTCGGTTAGGAGACAGCCACACCTGCCCTTAACCCCCCTGACACCCGGGGGGAAAGACCGTGTTCATCACAAATGTATCAAGTTGAAACTCCTGAAAACCCTATTGTAGTCGAGGGGCACACTGAGCGGTTGCGAATTCGGGACACTGAAAGACGCCGGTGCCAACAAACTGATGTCATTCGAGTTATAGGAGAGTTCTGCTTATCAGCTGATGGCACCTCCAAACAAACGAGTCGGCCCTAGAGTAGATGGAAACAGGGAAGCAATAAGGAAACGAAATCTGCAATACTTTGGTGATGTCAACGAACACTCATTTGACGCTTTTGTAATGTCAACAAATACTGATTGTTACTTTCGTAATTCTCGTTGTAGTAGAGACTTTGTAATTGCAGATACAACTATAGTACTACCGTTGAACAATATTGGTGTCAGAAGCCTTCGAATAACACTCGCACTAATAGTACTTGCTCGATAATACTCGCTCGAATAGTAATCCGTATAGTGATCTGAATAGAGGAATAGTATAGCAAATAGAGTAGAGAATAGCGTTCTGTATAGTAATAGAGGATAGACTAGAAATAGAGATCCGAATAGTAATAGAGGATAGACTAGAAATTGCGATCATTTAGACGTCGCGCGACTTCCTATATATGCTGTTTCTCTATAGTCACGTGATCCACTTAAGTCAATAATGGGATCGCCTGTCTTTGCTCACTGGCGATCTATGTTCAAACTCAAGTGTCGGCAGCGACACTTTATTCCTATATAACAAATAGTTTGGTCATATAATCAGGACCCTGATCATTTGCAGTCATACTCTAGAGCAGGGAGGTGGGGGAAAGCGCGGCTCGCGAGACACATTCGGCTCTTTGACCATTATTATGCGGCTCATGGATCTATGTTGGCAGAACTCCTTTTTGTATCACAGTAATTACAAAAGGTAAATAAGAAAAAAATTCAAGCTTTATAATTATTTACTGGGTATGAATTGAGACCTCATTGGATTAAAACGTAATTTTAATGTCCATGGTTCGTAAAAAATATTTAAGAATTTAAAACCTAATTTTAAAGCTAGATCTGAGTGAGGAATTGTTCTTTATTATTGAAAGAACGAATGGTAACAGGCAGAGAGATTAAAGAAATTTCTGGTCAGCAAGGGTGACAGAGAAATGTTAGAAAACTGGGGTAAAGGGATTAATTATTTTGGTGTGCCGGGGTAGTGAGTACGCCTCTCAAATATCTAAACTTTATCGTATGTGGCTCTTACATTAAACAAGTTTGGCCAACCCCTATTCTACAAGGCGCATCGATGACAAGAGACCGGGTGTAAGTCGAGGACGATGATGGGCTGATAATATCAGAGACTGAACAGGGAGAAACCTTTTGGAGAACATGGTCGTCGCTCAGGAGACAATGGAGTGCATTGGTGCACGGGTGCATTGGTTAATGATACCCCACCCTCAACAAGGAACATGGAAAGAAGCAATAAATTAATAAATAAATAAGAATAAACAAATAAAAATAAATAAAATAAATAGATAGAAGCAATAAGTAAATAAATAAAATTAATGAATAAATAAAAAATAAATAAAATTAAATAAATAAATAAAAATAAATAAAATAGATACATAAATTAATACATAAATAAAAATAAATAAATAATAATAAAAATAAATAAATAAATATAAATAAAAAAAAAGCAATAAATAAATAAATAAATAAAATTAATAAATGAATAAAATTAATAAATAAATAAAAATAAATTAATCAAATAAATAAATTTAAGTTTAATAAATAAATAAAAAAAAATAAATAGAAGCAATAGGTAAATAAATAAATAAAATTAATGAATAAATAAAAATAAATAAAATTAAATAAATAAATAAAAATAAATAAAAAATAAAAATAAATAAATAGATGAATAAAATTAAATAAATCAATAAATAAGTGAACAAATAAATAAATACAAATAAATAAATACAAATAAATAAAAAAACGAAAAAAAACAAAAAACAAAACAATGAGGTCATCTTCAGTTCCTTAACTTATTGGTAAGAAATAACTTTGAAGAAATAACAGAATGAACGAACAACACTGAAAAAATTCCTGTACTTGAAAAATATCTCCAATGGCAGGTCATAGGCGTTTCTATTTCAAAATCTATTTATGAAATCCGTTACGTGTTAAGTGACACAGTTTAAGGTGGGGCTTCTAGTCGGGGTGGGGGAATAACTCAGCATAATTTAATCTTTCTTTCCTAAAACGATCCTTATTTTTAACGACTACTTTAATTAACATGTCATTAGGGCAAAACATGGAATACATGATTAACCTCATTTAATGCCTGTTTTTATACTAATTAACAATAACAATGCGAATTAAGACAATTTTATTCTGTTATTTTTTTTATAATTGTGCAGTTTTCGCAAATTCTTTGGCAGCAAAAATTATATTTATTTAGCTCTCCTTGGTCCTTGTGTGAAACAGTGACTGTTCGGTAAAAGTTAGACAGATTTTAGAAGTATAAAAATTGATTGTTCTTCAGCTACTAAATCTTGTTGTTGTTGTTGTTCTTCTTTTTATTCTTCATCTTCTTCTCCTCCTCCTCTTTTTCTCCTCCTCCTTGTTGTTGTTGTTGTTGTATTTCTTCTTCTTCATCTTCTCCTCCTCCACCTACTCCTTGTTGTTTTTTGTACTTCTTCTTCTTCTTGTTGTTTTTTCTTCTTCTTATCCTCCTCTTCGTCTTCCTCCTATTACTCCTTGTTGTTCTTCTTCTTCTTCTTCTACTCCTCCTCCTCCTCCTCCTCCTCCTTGTTGTTGTTGTTGTTGTACTTCTTCTTCTTCTTTACATCGAAGCCGATCATGGCTCTCACCGCCATTCTCTCTTGGTTACTCTAAGGAACTTTTCACCTTTAACAACCGTCTTTGTCAAGTTGATTACTAGTTCCTTTTCACGTCTTCCTTGCCATCAAAATGCCCTATGAGTATTAAATTCTCTAATCCGTCTTTCCTCATATGTCTCAAACATTTCCACTGTCTTTTTTTTCTGGTTGTAACTATAATTTTCCATGTAGTTTTTTTTACTCCCATATCCATTCCATGGTATTGTCAACATTTGTTGGTAAAACAAGCATATGTATATGAAAAATTTGCAAACATTCAAAATTTTAGTAGTGAGTTCGATCCTTGTTGAGTGTCCCACAATGTACTTGTGCCGTCGTAAGTTAAACTAATAATTGAGGTTTTCTCGTTGTTAATAGTCAACCAATAGGATGGCTTCAATTGTAACAGCAATTTCTAATTACTAAATTGACCACAGAGCATTTGACAATAGTGTTATTTTGAAACTTCTTACGCCCTTGTCTTATTTGACGTCTGGTTTCGATCTTCCAAAAGGTCGAAGAACCATCCTTGTAAAATCTGCAATTTTAACGTGTTATGAACACTATCTATAAGATAAATATTCATATATCTCTCGGTATATCGGTGTACGAGTCAAATCCTGCTGTGATAGTGCCAAGATATTTTTCAAAGCATTTTAACCGAAAGCGAATAGGGACCTGTGACAATATAAAAGTTAAAGGCTGTCACAATCTATCTATCTATCTATCTATCTATCTATCTATCTATCTTAATTTGTTCATTTCTTTCTTTCTTTCCTTCTTTCTTTCTTTCTTTCTTTCTTTCTTTCTTAATTTGTTAATTTCTTTCTATCTATCTATCTATCTATCTATCTATCTATCTATCTTAATTTGTCAATTTCTATCTATCTATCTATCTATCTATCTATCTATCTATCTATCTATCTCAATTTGTTCATTTCTTTCTTTCTTTCCTTCTTTCTTTCTTTCTTTCTTTCTTAATTTGTTAATTTCTTTCTATCTATCTATCTATCTATCTATCTTAATTTGTCAATTTCTATCTATCTATCTATCTATCTATCTCAATTTCTTCATTTCTTTCTTTTTTTTCTTTCTTTCTTTTTCTTTCTTAATTTATTCTTATCTATCTATCTATCTATCTATTTTTAAATTTGTTCATTTCTTTCTTTCATTCTTTTTTTCTTTCTTTCTTTCTCAATCTGTTCATTCCTATCTCTCTCTCTCTCTCTTCATATATATATATATATATATATATATATATATATATATATATATAAAGCAATAGCTCACCGTAATCACTACTTCAATATCTATCAGTAAAATTTAGACTCTTATTGCATTCAGAACGGGCCAATCGCTGCAAGAAAGTTCTGGAAGATGCAAAGTGTAGCTCTGCGCAAGCCGGGTCCAGGCGTTAGCTGGAAAGAAACAACTTCGAATTCTGGAAGATCCTCAACCAAATTATGAGCAGATGCAGAGCGCCTCTATCGATTATTATAAATAGCCATGATGTCATATCTTCTTCAGCAGACAAAAGATGTAGCACTTCGCATCGTTTTTTGGGCCTCGAACTCATTGTTAGATGACAAAGGTCACCCTCTTCCCAAATTCCAACATCTTGCTGAGCACAATCTAAGAAAAAAAATTCTTTACAGCAAGGGCCTTGTAAAAAGCCTTGACCCTAAAAAAATCCCAGTCCCCGCAAAATCCCAGTAGTTGTCTTTGGGAATATCGGTTAATTTGCAGTATGAGCACCAAAAGTCCCCAGTAATGAGAATGTACCATTCTGGTGCCAAATTGCCTGATTATTTCGAAAATGGCATTAAAACATTGCGCTAGATTACCGTGTAGAAGTTATGGACAATGTAAGTTTGAATTCTTTCTCGTCTCGTAGACAGGACGACCGCTATTATTGGCTTTGTTTACATAGGTTTGCCACGATGCGAATGCTTCACTTGCGTTGATTACTGCGTAATGCGCGAAGTTTAAAATGAATGCGCAAAATTTTAAAAGTAACCTAACGTTATATTTATTTTTGAAAAAAGGGTTCAACCATAACGTTATATTTATTTAGAAAATTGCACAGTAATCAACACGAGTAAGATAGGAAAAGCCGTAAAAAGGCTTTTTAACCAAGTAAGCTTCCGCGCGTTACTATTCGAGGCAAACGTATGTAAACAACGCTAGTAATGGCGGCCAGACAACGCGAAAGAGATCGAACTTAGATTGACGATAAATCGTAAACGGTAATCGAGCGCAATGTTTTAATGTCATTTTCGAAATAATCAGGCAATTTCACACCAAAATGGTGCATATCTATAAATTATATTTATCTATCCCGCGGTAACTTACCTTGGCGCCCGAAATGGGCCAGAGTCGTGTGTATGTTTTACAAGAGAGTGTGGAGGCGTAGATCGACGAGCTTCGGACGGACGGTGAATCGGACAGCAGGACTTCGTGCTAATGATGGAAGTGGTGGTGTTGCTTGTAGCCATTTTTATTGGCTGGTTCTGGGCGCTCATTGGTTGAATGCTGGTTGGGTCAGGCGTATAAAAACACGGTACGCTCCTTAAACAGGGGTTCGTATTTTTCCGTTTGGGGTGGTAAGTGGCGTATTAGAGTCGAGGCGAGAAGTGTGGATTAGTTTGCAAATTGTAGGTGAAACACATCAATACAATAATTGAGAAAAGTTTTATTCAAAAAATAGATACAGTAAAGAAAGATATTATATTAGCAAAACTCATAATTACAGGACTGAAAAAGTAACAATATATATATATATATATATATATATATATATATATATATATATATATATATATATGTATATAAATAAAAAGAAAGAACAGTAAGATATATAATCCAGTGTTCAATGTAAATAGTGCTCAATGTAAATTTAAAGAGCATAATATTATAAATTAATTGATTTAAAATATGTTTTTTTTTCCGCTACACAGTCTATTTTTGAAACATGGTTAGAACTGTGTAGCGGAAAAAAAACATATTTTAAATCAATTAATTTATAATATATATATATATGCCCGATATAATATAGCAGAGCTATTGATTATACACTATTTACATTATTCGGACTATTGTCCTCATCTCTGTCGCCATATTTATTACAACGTTTCGGCCGTTGTACGCCCCTGCCTTCTTCAAGTGGTTGGAATGTCGAACTTAACCCTTTATTTCGCTCACTGGGGTAGACTGTTCTAGTTCCACGTGCCATGTTTAATGAATGTCAGTTATCAGTTATCTCCTGTTAATTCCCCTCTCCAAGTTCTCCACTACCTTAACCAGGTATTGAACTCACACTATGTGGGTCCTGTCAGTGGATGTAACCAACGCCTTTATCCACTGTGCCATATGTCCTCAGTTAGCGAAATAAAGTGTTCAGTAATTTAAAATACAAAAACAGCACTACTCTCTCTAAATAATTCTGATGATTAAAGAAAGATAGCATATTACCATCAATCACTTGGGAAATTATATCTAGATGTAAGGGTTATAATGGTAAAGGAAATAAATGCAATTTATGCCTCATTGAAAAAATGATTATCTTAAAACACTTAAATAATCCTAGCTTATTAAACAAGAGAATTGAATTGATGGTTACATATAGGCATAAAAATAAGTATCTGCTTAACTACGCTGATCCAGATTAATCTTTGAATATTTCATTTTAATATTTAATCTTTAATGTAAATTACGGTTTATTTTTAATGTAAATTACTATTTTTTAAATTTATATATAAATTTATGTTTTTTGTTTAAATAAGAACAAGTTATCTCATTGAGTTAAAAAATTTAAAAAGAAATAAAATCTGAATATTCACTATTTTACCGTAAAAATTTGCGTTTTGTTTATTTGTGCTAATCGTTCTTCATATCATCCTGCAGAAATTTAAAAATCAGTTTCATATTCTCCTAATTCCGCCTTTTCTTACCAGTCCAAATTCTTTAATATGTGAGAATTTTCCCTTTCAGACAATTTTGATTTTCTTTCTGATAGTCTTTCACTTTGTCTTTATTTGGGGAGCAATCTTTCATTTATGCATGTTTGGTTAAAAAAAACTACAAAAGTTCCTTATAGATTATTTTGTTTACCTTTACAATGTTTCTAATAATTTTTCTGAATTCCGGTACGTAGTTCTTAACACGTTTCCCCATATCTAAGCAATGTCGGTTAAGAATAACTTTTTCCAAAGACATTTTTGTTCGTAATGTCGTAAGTTTAATATTTTTAAATATGTTGACACGTGTTGACTTTTATCGTGCCTCGGGTATTTACTTTTACTATGTTTATTTTCTATTGAAATATATTTATCCCCTTTATTTCCGAAGCCTGTGGTTACTTTTATGGAAGAAGTATATATATATATATATATATATATATATATCATTCGCAGACAGTACTTTTCGCTGTATCACAGCACCTCAGTGCGACTAGACAACCGAATGCCTCGAAGCCCAACCGATATGGTGGCAGTCAGATTTTCTACCACTGAGCCATCTTCACACGACAGAACGAGTCAGCCAAATCTAGCGTATTGTTTTTACAAACGTAAACAAACGACAAGCAGCCAAATATATGCTCCCATGAAATCCGGTTGACATCTCGAGAGAAAGGGGCTAAAAAAAAAAACCGGCTCCTACTGCTATTAATGCATTACTCTTTATGTATGAATTGAGTTCTCCAATCTACTGGCGTATTTCGTATAGAAAAACGTTAAAATTTCCCTTCCTCTCTGCCGTGCGACGATAGCCAAATGATGTCAAATCGATAGGGTTTTGATCCCGGTTTGAAGCAATCGTACGTCTAGCCACACTGAAGAGCTGTGTTACAGTAAAACAGCTTGTCTGTGGATGACAACATATATATATATATATATATATATATATATATATATATATATATGTGTGTGTGTGTGTGTGTGTGTGTTCAGCGATCCCTCTTTTATAACAGTTTCAAGGCGACAGGCAAAGCATTATGATTAAGCTTTTAATCTAATTTTTCTTGCATTCGTACAAGAATTTCATTTTTGAACATCGAGTGTTTTCAATTAATCTATTACCCGTTATCAAGGATGTCTTTTTATTTTAACTGAATTTGTAGATTTTTATATAAATGGATCTATAACGACTGGGATGTTTTTTTTCCGAACAAGGTCAGCACATTTTGGCCGTGTTCCTAGTTGATATTATTGAGGGTTGGCGTCTTCTTTTTAATTATTAATGCTCCCTTTATTTTTAACCATTCATTGCGTGGGAATGAGGCTGTTATGGTCTTATTTTCAACAAGTAGTTGGTATGTTGCTGTGTGTGTTTTAATGTTGCTAATGGGGCTATGATCTGAGTGATGTAAATTGAGTCTTCTTGATAAGCATGAAGTTGTATGCCCAATATAATTAGTATTCATGTATTTGTTTTCGTCAGGAACGCAAATTCGTCCGTTAATTTTAAGTGGGATGAATTTGTCCTCAGAAACATTATTAAGAAATAACCAACTCCAGCCGACCAGAACAAGATGATTAAGTTAATTATCTGTTATAAAAAATTTTAAACGACCAACCTCGTCATCGACAATAACAACCATAGAAAATTAGGGCAGTTTTTACATTTTCTTTCTTTGGTAACAAAGAAAAGAGTACTGAGCTGCTACGTGACATCTGTCCTCCTTTAAGTCAGCGAATGTTGGACGGTCTCCTTAAAGATGAAGAAGAGACTCGAGGCGGCGGAGGTATGGTTCTACAGAAGGATGCTGAGGATATTATGGACCGAGCGTGTAAGCAACGATATGGTTTTGGAGACGATACAAACAAGAAAGAATTTTATACTTAATAACAGGAAGAGGCAGCTGAAATTTCTAGGACACGGAATGAGAAAGGAGGGCTTGGAGAATCTGTTACTCACAGGTCGAATAAAGGGAAAGAGAGGCAAGGGATAGGAACAGATGATATACCTAGCGGGCTTAAGCAAATGGATGACAAAACATGGCCCGGGGGGGAAGTAGCAAAAGGGACAAAGCTACAAGCTATAGGAGGAAGTGGAGGGCCATGATCGCCTACGTCGTGAAGGGACACAGCTCATAAAAAGAAAAGGATATCCAGAAAAGAAATTACTTGTACAAATGTAAGAAAAATTTAATATAAAGCTTAAGCGCCTTGTTAGTCGTCTCCAACGAAATGATTGACCCTA